GAGATCATGGACAATCTCATGCTACTTCATCCCTCCTCCCACCCTCCCAGAACCCATACTTTGTGCCCTGGCCATGCTTGGGATCCAGTGCCCAAGACAAAAAGATTCTGGAAATACCCCAAGCCTTTGCTCCAAGAGGCGCCTTCTCAGAAGTCATCTTGGTCCAGGCTCTCGAAACCTGGCACTTATGCTCAAGGCTCGAGTGAGATGCCAGCTAGCTGCCCCCACTGGCCCATCTTCTCCTGACTACCTTCCCAGGATCAATTAAACCTCCCTCTGGGGAAAATGGAACCAACTCCTGCAATGGTCCCTAACCTGAACTCCTAGACTGACACCAAGGGATGCTAGGTGAAGGGAACTGCTAAAATATTGTCAAAATGTCAAAAACCCATAAAGCATTTTCACTGTGGATTGCAAACCATTCCCTGTTGGACTGTGTGGAGCTCTGGTGGTCCAGTGGTAAGAGGCTGCACTGCATAATCCCACAGGCACACGGTTCACATCCACCAGCTGTCCTGACAGAGAGGGCCTGGCAATCTCCTCCTTTGTGATTAACTGTCTCTGTAAACCCCCTGGAGGGTCAGCTATGGGCCAGTCCCATCTCAACAGCACACAATAACAAGAAGCATTTCGCACACTCAAGCAGCCTGCAGAGCCTGCTAAGTACCAGGGTCGCCTGTGCTGGGATGGAGTATTATCCAAAATTAGTCACGAAGGGTAAATGGCAGCACCTAACACCAGCCCAGGCGTCATCAGGCCAGTCCCACCTTGGCCACCCCATGTGTGCCAGTGCGGAATGATGCTGCATGGCATTCCCGTGACTACTTTCAAGAAGGAGGTCCCAAAGCCTTTCTTCTGAGGCATCATCAAGTGGATTCAAACACCCAGCCTTTCAGTTAGCAGCCAAGCTTATTAAGTTTTTGCACCACCCAGAGACTCTGCTTGACTCAAAAACACCCAGTGCTCTCAAGCCACAGCCAACCCCTGGATTACAGAGTAGGGATGCTTTGTACATAGAGCGTAACCTTTGTGAAAGGAGGGCTCTCCAGGCCTTTCTTCCTGGTGGCACTAGGCAGATTTGAACCACCAATCTTTAAGTTAGTAGCTGAGCATTAAGCCTCTGCACCAACCAGAAATTAAATCAGTAGATCAGCCCGCTGCGGTGGAACCAAGCTGCAGACACTGAGCCTCAGACGCTGCCTTTATTGGCTCTGTGATCCAGGTAGTCCTTAACCTGGCTTTGCCTCAGCTGCATCACCTGGACCACCAAGATAGCACGTCAACTTAGTGTAAAGGTGAAATGACACTTATGAGTGTTCTCTTCAGAGCCTGGCACGTAGTAAGCTTTTAGAAGATGCAATCTATCACTAGCGGTGGGTGGTAACAGTGTAACAGAAGCAGTAAGCTGAGGGTGTGTGCTGCAGAGCTGGGGTGGGCCTCTCATTTCCTCGCTGAGTGCAGATGAGCAAGGTCCAGGCAGCTCTGGCATCTGGAGACATGCTCATAGGGTCCCGCTGGGAGTCTGCATAGCAGCAGGAAGGAGAGCAGAGTCTCCCAGTATACCTATTCCTCCTCTCTTCCCAGCCCACACAGCACCATAGGAAGAGCCAGGGACCCTCTCAGTGTGCAAACCACACAGCACATGCAGCCTCAATGTTGCACACTGCACTTTCAGTTTTTCTTAAACTTTGGGCTCCTACAGCCAATTTATTCCTTGTTACATCAGACTGTAGGGCAGTTCTGTTTTACATTAAACCCAATCCCATACTCTCTAACTTGATTCCAATTGATACAGACCCTACAGGGCAGAGTTAAAACTGCCCCACATGGTTCCCCAGAGGGTTCCAAGGTTTTAACTCTTGACAGAAATACACTGTCACATCTTCCTCCTGCAGAATGGCTGGTGAGTTTGAACGACCAAGCTCTGGGTTAACTGCCAAATGCTTAACCACTGTGCTCCCGCGGCCCCTTGAAATTTACTCTGCAAATTCTCTTTCCATTGGATGGTCCACAAGACTCTGCGAAACCCATGGTTGAGAGGCGGCTTCCATCCTCACTGTCCATGAGTCCACACACATTTCATGAGCCCTGACTTCAACTCTACACCAAACAGGTAGACTATGGATCCTGGGGGTTCTCCCCTCATGTAGAGTAAATGTGGTTACAGGGTGGCTGTCTTCAGAGACACTTCTCTGAGTCCACAAGTTAAGAAAGAAGCTAGGCCTTCCCCATTGACTCCGTGGTGCTGCAGAACAGGGCACAAGTACCTAGGAGAATGCTCTTATGGATAGATTCAACTTTGCAGCAGGGAAATAGAATCCGGCAGGCCCAAACAAACCGAGTGAGACCCAGCTGCTGTGACCACTGTCATGGCCAGAGGACAGGGTCCAACCCATCAACTTCTCAGGCCAGCACTGGGAAAGGATGAAACCTTCCCCACAAAGGAGGCATCCTTCCTTGAACCAGAAACTCATCCAAGAGAACAAAGGGGCATGTGTATCAGTGTGCTCAGAGCTGGTTCCATTGGAAGGCTAAGGGCCAGATAACAGCATCTGAACATCTCAGATCCAATCCACCACCACCTGGATTGGGAGCTCCGCATCCATCCCAACATCACTCCGCAGATAAGAGTCAAAGGTGGACACACTGTCAACATTTCCCAACTTAATAGTAAATCAAGAACTCATCAAAAAAACTCCATGAATGTCCTAGTGTTTACCCTGAGGGAAGGCAGCATCAGATAATCCATTAAACAAAGCAAAAGGGAAATTAAGAAGAAATGTGCATGTGTGTATGTGTGTATATATACACACAAACACACACACTACCTATCTACTCTATATCTCTATCTTTATATGTATTATCTTACACTCCCTATATCTACACACTCTATATATATACACCCCATATATATATATATGCACACACTCCTCATATATATACTCCCTATGTATGTATTCCCTATATATATAATATATATACATACATATACATATATATATTTGTGGTTGTTGATTGTCTTTGAGTCAAGCACAACTCATAGCGACCCCATGAGGGCTTGAAGCCCCTCTACAACCATCGAAATTTATCAAAGTTTAGATAGATAGTTGTTACATGCCAAAAATATATACATATACATATACACACACACACAAACATACACATATATATATTCTCTTTCTCTCTCTCTCTATATATATATACACACAAACACAAACACACACACATATACACTGTCTCTCTCTCTATATATATATTACCTATATACACACCTATATATCTAGGCTCTACACAAATCCTTTGAGAAAAGCAAGATACACTTAAAAATGGTAATTACCAAGTTTCACTGTGCCTGCACAGACCTTTGTCTATTTGAAATCACATGGCATAAACGTTCAGGAAGAAATTTGGAGGGAAATCTGAAAACAATATCAATATTCCACCAATTATTGGATTTTTTAAAAATCTGACAATTCCTGAGCAGCGATCAAATCAGCTGGACCAAGAGCCTATCTCATTTATTCCCTCACTATTTGCCCACCCACCGAATGGCAAATTGTACTGTGCACCAAACATGCTATTTTATCATCATAATCACATCCTAATTGAATGGGGTCTGGCCTCTCTGTCACCTGGAAACTGTCCCCACCTGATCCATCCCAGGAACTGGTTGCTCTAAGGTTCCTTCCTAAGGTGGGAGACCAGGGTGAGCAGAGCTGTGATTTGTTTTCCCAAAGGCGCCAGGTGGGGACTGAAGTTCTCCAGCTCCCCTTCCCTGTGAATAACACTAGTGTTCCCCGGAGGCGGAGAGGGGGGCTCGCCCGCATCTGGAGGCGCTCACGGACCTTTCTGATCAAATGCTCTGGTGAATATCGTCCCTAGAAAAGAAAAACATGCAATAAAGAGCATTTCTTCGCATGCAGCTATCCCGGGCTGCACGGAACGGAAGTCATCTTTGACAGATGCAGCCGGCCAAACCTGCTGCCAAACCTGCCACCAAGAGCTGCCCAGATGCGTGGCAGGAGCCCACAGGGAGCCTCCAGTTAGGAATGGCTCTTTTCGGGCTTTTCCATAAGAGGCACATCCAGAAAGTTCACACAAGGTTAATCATGGAAAATGTGTCAGCAGACAGCCTTGGGCAGAAGGGGGAAAGGAATACCGGGAAGGGCGCGACAAACGCAGGTGGCGGGCGTCCAGGTGGGAGAGATCCCCAGGGGACCTTGGGGTAATCATGGGGTCCAGGCTATGACTTTACCTCTGGCAACGACAAGACAGCTCTGCGGCGTGGGCCCTGGAGGCCGGTGGGCTGGGGTCCCCGGGACACCCATGGCTTGGGGTCTGCAGGGGAACCTGCCCAGACCCCTGCCCGCCTCCCACCTTCACGGATCACTGTTCTTGGGTACAGATGCTGCCGCCCCCAAGACACAGACTCCCACTAGCCCCGGGTGTCTCCAGCCCAACCGTGGGTGGCCCCGACTTCCCGTGTCTCAGTAGCAACAGTTTTCCAGGTGGAGAAGGACCTCAAACGTCTCCTGGGGAAGCCGCTCACCAGGACCCAGGCGTCCAAAGCCAGAGGTCCAGAAAGGGACTGCACAGGGTGGGACGAGGGGGAACCGCGCCAGACGCGAGGGCTGCCGCATGGGAGCCAGCGACCACCATGGAGAAACTTCCCAGGACGCGGCGCGCATCCGAGTCCGGAGAGCGGCGTGCGTCCCCCCCGCAGGGGCTGCGGGCCGAGCGCCGAGCGGGACTGACAGCTCCCCGCACCCGCTCAGCGGCTGGACTCCGTCCACCGCACCCGGCCCTGGCCCTCGGAGGGGGAAGGGAAGGTCTGCTCCGGGTCCCCGAGGACGCAGCCCGAACAAGGCGGAGAGGGGGGCTCGAACCTGTGCCCCGGCGGGAGGCGGCGGCGGTGAGACCAACAAAGTTGGGGCACAGAGAGGTTTGGTGCCGTGGGTCCCGGTGTCGACGCCCCCGCCCCGTGGCACGCCACTACTTACACGAAGACCCCGAAGAGCAGGGCTCGCACCCCGATCTCGATGGCCAGCTCGCGCATGGTGCGTCCGGAGCAGCTCCCGCAGCAGCTGCTCTCCGGCTCCCGCAGCTCGGCGGCGCCGGCGCCCCAGACCCCGGGCGGCGGGAGGCGCTCCAGGCTCTCGCGCCCGGGCTCTGGGGACGCGGACGCACGGGCTGGGCGCCCCGGGGACTCCTGGCTCCCTCCTGATTATGGATTTGAACCTCTGCAGACTGCAGTGAAATTGCAGAATGGTATCTCTGATTAACTGGCAGAAATTTCTCCTTCACCAGGTAACAGTGTTTAGTTTAATTTGAACTCTTTAGATTGTATTTTAAAGGAAAGGTGCTTCTTTAAACCCATCCATTGACAAACATGAACTACCTTAGGATAATGAGAACGAATTTAGAAAACAATCAGCTTGACAACAAGGATTTCTAAATAATGGTGACACTCTTCCGTAAGCCTAAATAAATGCTTCTTTACCAGCCTTTAATAATTTTTATTTGCTTGTTAAATCTGATTAATACCACTCATAAATTGCTTTCACCCTATTTAGCTAAAGTTAAATTTTTACTTTGCGACTAAACTTCAGAGACACTGATCCCAACATAAGGAACTGCCATCAGCTGATGTGTTTGAAATCACAGAAGCCATCGAAGTTTCATATATAAGTTATTAGATGGAGGGCTGGTGAAAGGGAGATAGATGTGAAGGGAGGGGGTAGAAGTGGATGGATATCCTGTGGGATGGTGAAGCAGGAAATAAGTGCGTGAAGGTGCATGTGAGAAAGGCAGGGACAACACTGACACTAAAGTTAACTCCGCAA